TTGAAATGTAATTCCCACCAGGGAAGCTTGGCTGGGAATTGTGGCAAGGTTCAGTTCAGAAACCTGAAAAACAGGAGCGATGTAAGTGAGTGAGAGTTATTTATTTCTATGTCTCTTCTATCTTGGCTATCTTCTCTTGATGGAGCTAACATTTGTTCTTATAGACCGATATTTAACATACATACGCATCACGTCGTGGCGGTTCGACCATATATATATATATCAACAAAGGTAGTAAAATGTAAAGGACGGGTGTCTAACCCATCCTCTTCCAATTACGCCTCAACCGGTGTTCTTCGGGTCCAGCTTGCAATGGCAACTCTTGTTTTGCGGCGTGCGATTCACAACCAGTAGTAGAACACAGAGACACACTTTTAAAACAGCTGCAGCTGGCTGTGGGGGGAACCAGGACTTTTATTGTGCAAAGGCATACAATTTTGGATGGACACATCTCTAAGTGGATGTTCGAGGGGTGTTCAGTGTGCGGTGCTGCATGTACGAAGCGGTGAAGAACATTTCCGGACAGCAAGGTAATTGGTTTGCATGGTGTGTCATTGTTTTGATGAAATTACATTTTTACTGTTATGGGATACACATATACGCGCGTGTGTGTTGGTCGAAGTGGAGTGGTAGTTCTTTGTATATATATACATATCAAGTTGTACGTCAATACTACCCGGTGATATACGAGATGACAGCCTTTCCGAAGTTGCTGAAGGCCTCCCATATGTTGACACTCTACCTAGTAAATTGCAGATACCTGCAGCACTCAAGCCATTTCCTGTTGCCTGCAATCAAAGAATCGGATGCAAATGAAAATACACTGTTTGTGTATCCAGGCATTATCAAACCATCTGCATTGGACGCATTGTACTGCACATGGTGAAATACCGATGGGCAATCATGTTTAAGCCGTTATCGTGTCAGCCAGCTTCGCCATGTCTATTCACCAGGATACAAACGAGCCAACGGCTAGGGATGATTATAAAACGACACATATATGGATAATCGGTGTGCATCTCAAAAATAAATAAAACAAAGAAATAGATGAAAACACCAAGGTAGCAGGCACAAACACGGCCGTTGCTATCCACCTTCTGAGTGTCTCTCTTCGATAAATGCTAGTAGTCTCCACTTGAGCTCCTGCATGCATGATAGACCCGGGGATGGAACATCATGGATCTACATCGAAAGAGCAGCCGGGGATGATCATGGAGTGAGATGTTTGGGCGGGGGTCCCTCCTCGGCTTTTCCCCCGTGTCTTGTTCTGGCCATGCAGTTGGGCAACTTTGATCGCGCGTTCCAACCTCTTTTCTGGGACATCGCAAGAGTGGTAGTGGTAGTGGTAAGAACGACCGAACCGTGGGGGCGACTTTTCCTTCCGACGTTGTGCGCCGGACGTTGTCAGATAGGCGCACGATCGGGGCAAGCAAGCTTCTTTGTCTTCTAGAACATGGCTAGCCAATCGGAAAAGAATCCACGCCCCGTGAACCCATGAAACCTTGCGACGCCTGACGATGTTGCATTTGCCAAGCGCTGTCCAGCCCGCCCAGGTGCCCAGGGTGGCTTCGCAACACCCGCTATCGGCAACAAGCAGCAGGCTGGTGATTGATGATATGATTTTGAATTGTCAAGGACGCAAATTTCGGAATTGTTCCTGCTTGTGCTGATATCTTTTTTTGCAAACTAGGCGGCTGGCAATGCTGCAAATTCCACTCTTACAGCACATCGTCATGCCCCTGGTTGAGTGGTACACACCCATTTCAAACTCCGGAACTGCCATTGCAAAAATACGGAGTATTTAAATTTAAAAAAATGCCAAACTCGGAACTACAAGTGGATCATCAAAAAAAAAAAAACTTTTAGGGGCGCCGTCACTATGGGGTAAGGTCTTGGCGTGGCTTGGGGCCTGATGGATGGCGCCACATATCCCGGTTTTTTCGTTCCTGGATTTCAGGGTCAGGAAAGGGAACAAGCCGAGGGTCCTCAGGTTGCGTTGCATCTCTGCCAGATGCTACATTTCTCGGACTTTGTCCCAGAATTGGGGAGTGGGGGTGGCCTTCCCTTGGATGCTTAGTGCTATTCCTTGATGATTCCTTGTCTTGCTCTCACATTGTCAGCCAGGGAGGGGGGGAAAGAGAAAGGAATAATCATGCCGATATGAACTGCGAACTGCTGGCAGCAAAGGGACATTGAAATATCGGGCACCCTTCTTTGTCACCACCCTCGGCTAGTTATCTTAGGTTTCGTAGGCCGAGATTTCCGCCTGCCGCCGGACGCAGAATAAACCGTTTGATTCCGGGATACTGTGGCTGATCATCCCATCTCCGCCCGCACCTTCCGCCGCCGTCTTCCAGTCGGTCGTGAACGCGAACAATTCCCGGCCCCGAGCCTGGAGGTTGGGTCGCTGTGACGCAATGGAGCGGAAGCTCTCCGAGGCCCACTGTCGGACAGAAACAGCGGAAGCGGTAAGCGGCTACCAGCATCGGTGGTTTCTGCGAATAAGGGGTGCTGGCCGATGCTGTGAACGGACATAATAGACCAATTTTGGGTGTTCCTGGCCAGGCAGATACTAGTAGATACGAGTAGGTATGAGGACCTCGCCTGTATTCTGGGAGGCCGGGTTGATGCCGGCAATTGACAAATGGTTCTTGCTCCTGTTGTCCTCCTTGCTTTTTTGGTTTTTGCTTCTATTTTTATTTTTTGCTTTTCATTCGGACTGTTGTTTTTCACTGAAGTACTAGCGATTGTGGGGGAGGTTTTCGGTACAAGTAAGTGCGAGCGCGTTGGGAAGGCCGATCTAGACCACCTCGAATCCAGAGAGTATGACGTCATAGTCAGACAGGGCATAACCGCAGGATTTGTACGTCGAATACTGTTATTGTGGTTATTTTTTGCTGTGCGATGTTAAGCCACAGTTATACGCTGTCGCTTTCCCGTCATTTAATACATATGAACATTCCTGCCGGGATTTTAAGTTGGGAAACGGTATGGAAGAAGAATTGACCCCAAAAGGAGCTCTCTCCAAATCCACACAGTAGTGTCGCGTTCGTCTGAACTTTTAGATGCTATGCGCAGCTTTGTATGCCAGTCCGAAGTGTCGTGAGTTGAAAGAAATATTCCAAAAACGAACATGAAGCGAAACTTGCTCGTTCCTTTTTCTTTCTCTCTCTCTTTCTTTCAATCCATTCCGGCTTTCAACCATTATTTTGCACTCCAGAGTTACGAATACGCAATTCCAATATATATTCCTTTGGCTCCTATATTTCTTTTTTCTTTCTTTTCTTTCTCTTCTTCTTTTTCATTATTTTCTTTTCCGGTTGCTTAAACCCTGAGATCATCAAAGTGCTCCACAAATGCCGAGGATCTCCCAGATTTCCTAGTGAGGTAGCGTAACATCACTTCTTTCAGTTAGCATTTCTTGCATGACTAGGGTGACTTCAGCACATTGAGCTTCGTATATGCCGCCATGCCGCCATGCCGACAGGAACAGGTACAGAGCTCAAGGCGGTGAGAAAACTTAGAGCGTCTGGGGCCATACCGAACCATCCAGTCATCTGCTGTGTTTCCATACCTAGATAGGCCATAACGCGCAAGGTCCCTCATTCTGGGCAAAATCTGCTGCTGCTGCCCGTCCAGCTGTGCGACAGGCGTAAAAAAAAAGCCAGGGCGAGATATAAGGGTGGCTTCTGTGAATAGCAATTTTGAGAAAGGGTTAGAGAAGGACAATTGCTTCAACATCTCCTGACCTGCATTCATGATATAAAATGGGCTGAAGTGATCTGAAACCAGATTTCTGTTTCACTGGAAAGCTGTTCCTCTTTCAATGAGCAATCAAATGAATGGTGAAATTGCCGGATGCGTTCAAGGTCGATATGAGCCTAAACTAACCCTCATGTGGATGCGATGGAAAAAGCCTCTGTAATGTACTATTGCGGAATGATTTTGCATGGCTTGCTACCACTTCTTGTTTCTCGTGCTGAATGATGCTGAGCTGTTGAGCTGCGAAATGCGTTTCATGGACCCCGGATTTTAAGTTCATCCGCCGGAGTTAGAGCCTTAGCGCGACAGCCTCGTGCCCTGACGCTAGCTTCTTCAGGACTAACGTCTCCGGGAAACTCGATTCTGCCGCAAATCACCGCCCAATGATGCAGTTCTCCGTTGGCTTCAAATCGGCGCAGGGGAGGGTTTTCACTCGAAGAATATACATGTCTGGTCCATGGTCTGATGTTCTATCGTATTACTGTGTCAGCATGATACTGGGATATCGTTTGGTATTCATATTATCTGACTCTCTTTTGCCACAATCTTTTTCCTCTCTTTGATTATATGATCCGTCCTCCACAATCCCTCCTCAGCCGGGCTTGACCTCCTGCACTCAATTCCAATTGGACTTACATTGCCAGTAAACCATGGCACCTCCTCGTCAACGGGTTGTAACGAACCCTGATGACTCGAGGTCGGAAGCCTCTAGCGGCACGAGAGAACGGCATCCAACAGGCACAAAGGGTCGGCGACCAGCCAACACCGCCGCTCCCGGCAGTTCAGTATCATCCAGAGATATGAAAGTCGCAGCTGCTATCACTGCAACCAGCGGCCACAATGCGGGAACTGGTAGCCTGACAGAATCCACTGGAGTAAGCTTCCCCCTTAGTTTGTGCTCGATTACTAGCACTTTCATGGCTCGATTTCTCAGTTAAAGAAAAGATTGTCCTTGGGGAGAGAGAGCAAATGCACATTTGGCCGTTGTCCAATAGCGGATTTTTTTCTTTTCCGCTATGGGAATACATTTTGCTGACTCCAACTCCGTATGCTTCTAGGTAAATTGGTCAAGCATGCCGCTATCAGTTCTTCACCAGTACCGGCACGCCTACAACCTCCCCTGCCCCAGCGCATACTCCTCTCAAATATCCTCAATAATCCTGAACCAAGGAGTTGGTCTCCGATCTCCGACAACCATAGCTGCTCGACGAGCGCAGCTTGCCTCCCAGCGAAAAAAAGCCGAACACGGAAACAGTTTCCGGTCTTCCAAAAGGGATGATTCTGCAAACAAATCACTAGACGGGGATAATAACAATGTCGCTTCAGGGATGGACTTGCATCGCATTTCTACTCTTCGCGGGCAGGGAAGGGTAACAAAAGACCAGCTTGCCAACGTTGTGAGGAAGCATTTCAATAACGTGGGACTTATGGAGCAGGATGCTATTGCAAAGTTCTTGTATAAGGTCCGTGAAGAAGGGAAGGGTCGTGAATTTCGCCTGCGGTTCCAACCATGATATGGAGTTGTAGGAAGTGCAACCTTCTCTTCTTGGTTTTGTCATGTTTATTAGACTCTTTCCCTATCGAACATACCCCTAGCTTCCTTTGGACTTTACATACTACTTTGCTTTTTGTGTTTTATGTTTCCTATCCTTGGTGTTGGGAGTCCATTTTCTCAGGGATATCTGCCTTTCCATGTTCCGGCATTGTTTATCCTGTATTTCCTTTTTTTCTTTTTTCTTTCTTTCTTTCTTTCTTTTTTTTTTTTTTTGGCTTGTTTGGATACATTCGGCCATCCACCCATTGCAGCGTCTTAATATGTAATACCCTCAATTGGCCTAAGGGCGCGTTCACCGCGTGTGACATCGAGTTTTTGACGCCCGCAATTCATATCTCTATCTCCTGACCCATTCCATGTTACATCTGCCCCCTTACCTCGACCATGACTTTGTATATCTACATGGATACGTCAAACAGTTGTAATTTTTATACACTTGGGAAACTCTCTAACACATTCTCGATACTCCTTTATTCCTAATTACACATGCTCCACTTTAACTTTTTAACACCCTATCCTAACATTCCATGAGAGATGACGAAGCTACAGCGATGCAATCATTCAATTTTTGATCTATAGAACACATAACTATTTATTCGTGATTTCGACTTTCAATCGTTAAGACAGACAAAGTTGGCATATAAGCCTGCTGGCCAAGCACAGAATCCATTGTGTAATCATACATATTCCGTACCCATTTCCATTTTTCATGACTAATTTTACATGACTGTACAAATGCGAACACATAGCATATATCATCTCGTATATAACCCGAGAAAATGCAGAGAGGGTGGTTTGTGTATTCGCACCGCCCGTTGCATGTTCTCCCATATTTTTTTTTTCCCGCTTACACCTTTTGCCCTTCATTCACATTTTGATATAGCAATGCTCACCCTTTTCGAGGACTTTTACCTCATCGCCGACGCGAAGAGTGAATTCTACACATCTTTGTGTCAGACACTTGCAATTTATCGATTTCAAAGAGTAAACGTAATATCCTCAAATGAAGAGGGGGTGGCCACGAGCTCAGCAGACGAGGCTAAGCTGAGCAACCCCTTCAGGACAAGAAAAGAAAAAGAAAAGGACAAAAACACACCTTCAACAGTAGGAACGCATTGCATGCCCAAACATGCATTATACGGATCTCCCACATCAATGCACCGGAAGCTCTTCAGCGTCTTATCCGGCTCAACGGGATGTCTCACTCCCGTCTTGGGATCCACATTTGGCAATCGGCACCGCACAGTCCGACACGCTGTATATACTTCAACCCCCTCATCTGCGTTCTCGCTGGAATGATTCCGATTACTGTTGTCTTCGGGGGCTCCATTCTGACCTTCCCTCTTTTCGATGCCCTCCTCCACCTGTTTGTTCGGCATCTGTTTTCCATTCCGCGGGATAAACCGCACACGCTTCCAATCATCTTCCTCAAACGCAGCACTCCCCTCTAAGATAACGTTGGGCCGAAATCGGCGCGCGGATAGCTTTGGAATAGCGTACTTCGTCCGCTCAGCTATCTCTCGCACACTGGCCAGGCTCAACATATGTACCGGGTATGCGTCTGCGAAACCGGTGGTGGCTTGGAAACCCAGAACCTCCTTACGAGGTGCGCAGCGGAATACCTTCCGATGGTGATCCGGATCGATGCGGAAGAGAGTCATGGGCCTTGAGGCGCCGAGGAAAGCGAGCAGGGAGGGTGGGATATGTTTGCCGTAGTCGAAGGCCATAGGGGTGTCCCTCCAGATGCGCACAGAGCGAGATGGATAGGCGCCATTCTCTACGCTTGATGGCGGGGGATGGAGAGGCACATGGAATGATTCTTCGCGAGCGCAGAGGCCTAGTTTCATTCCGATTGATAAAAGGACGGGTATGATACCACTGCCGCTTGGGATGCGGGGGAAGCTTATCACTAGAACGCCCTTTGAGCGCACCTCCGGGCGCTTTGGCGAATAGGTGGATGATGATGGGTCGGGAACCCAGATCTCCGGCCGGATTAAGGCCAATTTGGCATATTTTAGATCGCGCATCGTGCGAAACACCCATTTCCCGGCTGGCTTATCATCTTTTTGATTCTTTGCGCCTGATTCTGCGGAGTCTACATATTCCGCAAAGCAAAATTGGCGGTCATATGCCACTCCGGTACTCACAACATCAGCGATATTGAACTCAACACCCGCACAGCTTTTGATCGGATACGCTAACAGAGCCTTGACGCGGATCTTTCCTCTGCCCGCATCGTTCTGGTTGGTTCGTTTCGGTCTTCCATCGGTGCCGTAGTTGTTTTCATCGCGGAGGTTAGAGAAACCGTGCAATCCCAACTTTCGGCATCCCTTAGGTTCGCGCGCTGCATTACGACGGCTTGAGAATTGAAAATAAAAAAGGAGGAGTATTGGCGAAAAACATAAGATGTAGATGATGAGGAGTGAAGTGGTGGCAGAGAAATTCAGCCGCGGAACAATGCCAGTCAAACGAGGGATGAGCATAGTGGATAGTAAGTAATCCACTGGCAGGTTGAAATATATATATATATATATATTTATGTAAGTGTATTTACCGAAGGAAAGATAACAATGTCTTTTGTTGTCTTGATTTTTTTTTTTTCCTCTTAAGTTGGCATTAAGGCCGTTCAATGTAGGTTGAAAGATCTATTCGGTAGAGAACGGCAGAGGCCCCAGAGGAGTTTGCCCTCAACGCCCGTGAGGAAGAGGAGAGTCGAAGACTTATGCAGTTAGCTAGTAGGTAGCTACCACCCAGGCATCGTCTAATGCCTTAGGGAGATCTTATCCATTTTCTATCATCTGGTCAAAAAGGCTTTGGATCATGACAAATTGGATGTTTGTGGATTGGCGAAAAGATTAGTGCTGACTCATGTCCCCCAAAGAAGGATTATCGATTTCAAATACGTTTGTCCGAGCCTGTAGCAAGTTTCAAACAACGTTTTTCCCCCTCATCCTCCTTTAATGCTTCTCTTGTTGAATGCACGCCAAAGTCGCGAATACTAGTATTCTATACCAGTTCTAGTACTATATACAAGGGCGGCCTGCCTACCTAGAATATCTTGTCAGGTTCTTGCAAGTAATATCCTCCCTATATTGACTACCTGAATTTCGCATGGCAAGGCTGCTCCTCCTATGACAATCTAGGCAAAATCATATGGGAACGTTGCTGTTCCCCAGTTCTGGGATGAAGTATCGGAAGAGTTTTCCAAAATTTCCCAGCTGTCTATCCACAATACGTGAATGAACCCTCATGTGTTGGTGCGTTCGTGAAGGCACGGAGAGTGATATTGGAGGCCCAAGAGAGACAGATCCCTGAGCTCTTGATAATGCCGATCAATGTGACTTATTCAATGATCAGGAACAGCAACAGGAACTACTTGGCAGAGAGTATGAATATGAGAGATATAACCTTGTTCCACTCTTCGGACGCAACAACGGCTCCGATTTCGACGGGCCATGTCCCTCTGCTTATTACTTCGACGGTTGGCTCTCAAATGTTTTTTTGTTGTTGTAATCTCACTTCCCTTTGGTTATTCGTACTGAGCGAGACATGAATAATTGTCACTACCGATCTCAGTTGAATCACTATATACATGTGTGATCGTAAATTCTGTAAGCTTTTAATGATGGGTACATACCAATATATTTAAGTGAAATGCCTAACAATATTTTAAAATGCCATTCAAAAATATCCATTTATTTTCATATGCTAGTAATTTTAACATTTGGGCGATGTTTGAGGTTGGTAAACGAGGATCTATTTACTCGGAATATCCCCCAGGCTAACCGAACATCAGCTCCAGCCATACAAAACTCATACTGCAACCTCCCAGACACCCATCCGCCCACGAACATGTTTCTATCTTATTTCTCTACATATGCATAGTGTTTCCCTAATCTTAATACTCGATCACCGAGTCCGTTGAATAGATAAATGTAGCAATCGTACGCCGATGACCACCCAGGAGGAAGATATCGCAAAGTTTTCCAGTCCGGATGAAGGCATGTTGAATTAGCTTTTATTTTTTATCAATATGCATAAATTAACTGAACGGGTCTGGCGAACGAGTTTCAACCCGCGTTGATGGATGTTACAATATTTTATATTGATATATATATATATCAGAAATAACCAAATACCGTGCAGAGCAGCTTGAGATCTCTGGCACACATTCGTCTCCAGGACAAATTTTTATTTACATTCTGGAGATCATACTGCTAACCTCTCAATAGCCTATCAGAAAAGGGATCTAGAAAGCCCATTTCGTGCCTTCGGGAGTGTTAAATTATCTCCTCTGCCAACACATGAGGGTGGAGGCGCAGTATCTACTGGTCTACCGCGGCTTGACGTTGCTTTAGCACTGCGGTCTGGTCCGATGCCATCTCCCCTCGGCCCCAGACGGAAAAATTACTATGGCCAAAGTCATCCAGACGCATCTACGGGCGGAATCAAGCGAGGAGAGATTACAGAGGTCATAGGACCCCGTGGGGTGGGGAAGACCGCATTTGCGTGAGTGCTTAGCATACGTGATCTAAGGGAGAGGAACCAATGTAGCTGACATTACGCATGCAGAATGGGAATTGCCGCAAGCGTGCTACAAGCAGCGCAGAAAGTTGTCTGGATAGGTTAGTATTAGGGGCAGTGAGCTCATTCTCCGTTCTCCGATTTTTTCAAGGGAATCTTAACTTTTACTTCGCCATGGGTTCTGCTATCCGCAAGTTATAATGTACTCTCTATCTAACGTTGTTAGATACTGCGGGGCCCATGAACCCAACAAGATTCAAAGACATCCTCCAAAGGGATCAACATTCACGGTCCTCGGACGACTCATTTGATCCAGCATCAGGCGGAAACAAAATAGACGAATTCCTCAATCAACTACTATACTTCCACCCACCAACCATTGCCCATCTCCTAGCCCTAATATCTCACTCACCAAAGGGATTCCCACCCCCAGAAGCGGGCCTAATAGTGATTGATTCCATATCTTCCCTCTTCACCTCCGAATACCGCACCAGACAACCACCCGGAAACCGAAAAGCTAAGTTCATGGCAACTGCGGAGTCCAAGAATGAAAGAACTCGCTGGAAAATCATCGGCAACCTAGCTATGAATTTGAAAAAACTTGCTGTCCGACTCAATTGTGTTGTTGTCGTCATCAACGAAATGGCCTCGCGGTTCCGGGGGAAGCATCCACCTGTGCTGCACGAGGCCCTCTCAGGCATGACATGGGATTCTGGAGTTGCTACACGCATAATGCTCTGTTGGCATTGGTTACCCCCTAGCTCTCAATCACGAGTGCGCATGAAACGTGTGCGTTTTGCGGAGGTGGTTAAGGCTGAGAAAGTTGTGCATTTGCAAGGAAGATCACAGAGGATCGTTCCATTTGTAATTAAAAAGGTAAGTGTATACTGTCAAGCTAAATCTAGCGAGTTCCTTTCCCTATTTATAGGGGTACCCACCTCATGTGCTTGGCGAGCTCTTTTTTTTCCCCGGCTTTCTATAACCACAGAGGCGTGAAATCCATGTGGGCCGAGAGGCTTTGTCCAACGCTGTAGGTAAAAGATGACAATTTCAATACATAATTGACTCAATACACAACCAGACCGGTCTCCATGAATTCAGTCCCAGGCCTTGTGGCACGCCACTCTCCATCTCCACCCGCATCCCCAATCGCGCGCATTTGATACATGCGCGGGCAAAAAGGAAGCTCGGCGATGCCATAAGCGGCAGCCCAGACACGAGTCGGAAACCCCGGATTGAGCACGGAGCAACGCCAGGGGTCAAAATTGAGAACATCGACCAAGAAGAAGGTAATGGAGGAGAGACACCCTCGGATGCCTCTTTGATCTTGTCAATAAAAGAAGAGGACGAAGAAGAGGGGTATGAGTACGAATGGCTAGATGAAGATGGGATAGAATTTGCTGATGAGACTGTTGACGGCGAAGAAGCTGGAAGCGATGACCACACTGGCCGTGATGGTGACGATACGAGTGAGAGCGGTCCTCGTTTCAGCCGCACAATGGGAGGAGCTATTGAGGATGACACGGTTCTATTACTCCAGAATATCTCTGACGATGACGAATTTGATTGAATTGGCCGGTGAGCAATTAATTTGATCTCAACGTATCTGATAGTCACCAGCAGCATTATACTCGAGGGATGAATTTCATTAACCAACCATGATGAAATGTGCCACAAGGCTGCATTGAGCGAGCTTGACCTCGGCCTAATAGAAATACCGTATATAAATAAACACTTGCATCGCCGAATATGACTCGGCTAGGTTTACAATTGAAAAAATATATATATATATATATATAGCTATTGATATTCTCCGATATGAAAACTCTCACGAATTTGAGAGGAGACTACCATACGGAGGCGTGTAAGACCTAGATTCTGGCGTTAGTAGCTCTATCTTGGCTCGAGGGCCTAGCAGTATAACTAAAGAGTATACTGCGCATACAGCAGGGAGAAACGGGGGGATATGGAGTGTAGTCTCCAATAGAAAGGGACTATTTCCCTTCCATTGACGTGCCATTGATTCTAGTAGCATGAACTGCTCTAACGGAGAATTTCCGGCGATGGGATTGACCAAAAGTGAGATTCATTTCCAAGGCTCGATGAGCAAATATTGATGGCAGGATTGGACAACGTGCCATTGAAACGGTTTCCAAGCATGTTCAACATTCGGACCCAAAGCTGCGCGCTGGAAGGTCTCAGGATGATTCTGCAATGTGGGGAAAGAATATCCCACGCTGGACCTCGGTATGCATTGATGCCTTCGGACATTAAGTCTGTCGAGATTCGTTCTCTGGATGTCCAATCCATGTTAGACAGGGTGCAAAGCCAGGCATTCCTAGTACCTCCACCTCAGGGAGAAAATACTAGTATATTCAGGATAAGTTCTGTGTTAACTATTTTCGTGAAAATCAGGTAACATCAGAGTGGCTTCTATCAGAAGCTGCGAATGTTTCATTCCATGACTCGTAAGAAAATACAAAATCTCGTGTAAAATCTATATCTCTGAGAACGAATGCTGTTGTCAAAGCTCGAGAGAATCAGCAAATCTGAAAAAAAAAAATAAAAAAACATCGATGTTCTTACTGATTTTAGCTACTTTTTAGTACTTGATCAATGCGGTGTAACAGTAGGCTCCTGCTGGAGGGCGCTTAGAAGTAGAGATGTAGGCTGCTGCGGCTGGCAGGAAACCAGTCGTCGTATGATCTGTTTTTGGCCCGGCTCCCACTGTATACCTGTAGCTCCGGTCAGTGCTGACCATTACAGGTGGTGTGATGTAGCATCCATACTCCCGGCACGGAGTTGGAAACGGACGTCCCGTTCATCCATCGGGGTAGATATCTGGAATAGGAATATTTTATTCATGGCTTACAAGTATAGATGTTGGATGCATACTGTCAACTGACAGAAAGTCAGCCATCTTGTGATCTAGATAATACATATCTGGCCAGTGCTGATCATGAAATCTATCATTACAGGAACTTGCAGAGGATGAAGCGTCAATGTTTTCTTCAGAACAGCGATTCGAAAAAAGTTTGAGCAGTTTGAGAGTTGAAGAAAAGCAAAGATAATTCATCTGTAATATCCGTATCTGAGGTCTGTAGCAGCAATATCCCGGAGCTCACTGAGCGTTATATCAAAATAAATAATACAAGCTGATTAACCAGCTTGATCTTGATGGTATCGTATTCGAATACAGAACCACATTCCAACAGATTTGGAATGCTAGTTACTCTGTATGTAAGGCTGTGTATACACTATTCCTTGTAAAAAAAAAAAATAGTCATTTTAACAGTGGTGTAATTAGCCGGCAGGTGGTGTAATTATCAACCGGCTCCATTTCATCCTGATGTCCGTTCGACCCCTTCTCGGTTGCAAGTTGAGGCATGTCTCAAGCCGCAGGGCTGCGTGCGGATCACCAAGACTGAAGTATACGACTCCGTCGTACCGCCGGATATCCCTGCCAAATGGTGGGCTGAAGGTGGCAGGGCTGGAGACATCTCCGCTTCTGTTCAAATTTCAAATGAGTGATGCCTGCCATGGTCACCCTTGAAGGCCCAGGAACCAGGCTATGATCCGAGCATCCATGCGCGGAAAAATTACCATCTCCCCTTTCATAAGCAGTTTTGTGAAGCTCCGGGATTTAGTGCTTGGGGAGGGAAGCCCTCCCTTTGGGGGCTGGTCTCTCTCTATCGCTGATATGGCTGTGGGTTTCAAGTGGTGTTGTCGGATCCAACCAAAGGAGCTTGAGGCGGACCCACCAAAAATAGCAAGACATCCTTGCAAACTTTCTTTGATCAGATCTTTTCCCTCAAACAGCCCTCGCTTACATACCTCCCGTTGGCGTCAACTCATTGCTCGAGAAAGCCCGCGAAATGTCGCGACCCGGTCGTTGACTGCCCTATGGCATTGCTTGACCTCCGGGATGGGAAGGCTGATGGTTTATTTGGTTTTACTCGTTTGCTCTTACGCAGCAGATCTGCGCCATGTCAGCGAAGAAGACTTTAATAATGACAGAATTAAGCCCCGGCGATTTTACCACCACCCAATCATTAGCCATGGGATCTGTATTATGTTTATTTTCTTTGACTCAATTGGGTGGAAGTTCCCGCCTTTGGCTCTTGGGGGCCAACAACCCCATGTGTCCCTGTAGGATCTGCTCCGCCAGGCAGAGTGTTCCCATGGCTCTCCCCCTTGGCCGATTTCATAAGATCCACGCTGGCGGCTTTATGCACACATTAGCTGCTGCTGCTGCTGCTGCTATTATTATTATTACTATGTATTTTGTGATGTGTGTTGTTACCTCGGAAGCATGGATGCAGAATGGCTTGTGCCGTGCAGCCTGGGTTCCGAATCCAGACTCCAGAGGCACGCGCTGAACAAAATATGAAGAAATTTGGGTATCCAAGCGCGAAAAGGCAATTAATCCCCGGCCAGGCCGGTATTAGGACTGACGATCACGATGGTCCGTCTTTATATAAAGCCGGCCTGATTCCCCAGCCCAATCTGAGCCTCCTGGGAATATACGTCGAATTGATTTGATTTATGGCTCTTGGGATACAAAGCAAAATGGCAACTCTAGAACCGACAACGAGCTACATCGCCGAGTTGATATCAACATCCAACCTGCCCTCTGTCACATTCGTTGTCACCGCCTTGACTTTGGCCGTTTTCTACACTTTACAGCGTCGGAAGTCGACGGTGCCACTTATCAACCCCAAACGGTGGTTTGAATTTTCGGATTATAGGATCAAGCAGGAATTCGTTCACAATGCAATTCCACTGGTTAAACAGGGCTTTGCGGCAACTGGCAACAAGCCGTTCCGCATCCTTGCAGATAGCGGAGAACTCACGGTTCTCCCTCCTGATGTAGCCAACGAGATTAAGAGCAATGACCACATGAGCTTCGAGCTTAGTACCGCCAAGGTAAGAGGTCGCTTTGTTGTCTGATCCGATGATAGAACAATTGTGAATCTGACACGGTAACAATCGCGAAGCAATTTTTCGGCCACCTCCCGGGATTCGAGGTATTCAATGCCACGGGAATGAATATGAAAGTTAGCAAGTCCATAGTCCAGCGCCAGTTGACCACTCATCTTAGTAAGGAATGCCAGATCTTTTGGATGAGCCTCTCAGTCCTGAGCCTAATATTCCTCCTACTCTGCTAACATTTTCGTAGGCAAAGAAACAAAGCCGC